ACGCCAGAATAAGAAATATGGAGACAACAAGAAAATTGAGTATGATGTATCACAATTTTTGTTAAACTGATAAAGAATATGGCCTGATATGTCTTTAAATAAGTAATTTTTAGTTATGAAGTTAATTATGGGAAGTTGCTCATTGTATGGACGTAATGTGAGGATAATGGGCTATATTTAGAGTCAATTCCTTATTTAGTTTGTTGTACTTAAAGATGTATTAATGTATAAATAAAAAAAATAAAAATGATACAAAAATACAGCAAAAAAGTGATAAAAATTGTAGTCATTTATTGTAAATAACATTCCTATAGCTATTGGTATTCATTAACCCTATAAATATAGTTATTTTTGTAAGTTGCTCAAATAAAAATCCATTGACAACTAGTTTGGGAAAAAGCCTTAAAATGAAACAACAAAAAAGAGTATATTAGAGCAAACCTTTTTGTATTTTAAATTAATAAAGATAAATAAAATTTGGCGAAAACTTTATAATTTTTTTAGGAATTTCATATTCAACTATATATTATTTTATATACCTAACTAATCATTGATCAACTTGTATTCAAACACATCTCGATATAAATTGTCTAAATATTGAAAATCAATTGATAACAAATGTTAAAAATCCATTAAAAAAATTGATTTCACTGGCATTTATAATAGTTGATTGACACTTTAATTTATTTATACAATTTCACAATAAATCCTAATATTTTATTCAATTCCACGATGAATCATATAATTCGATCTACAAAATCTTAAACTTCTATAGAATCCTATTTTTTATATTAAAAAAAATCTTAATCATAAGCTAAACGATGATCTATGTTGAAATTGAAGGTTAAATGGGGTAAAAGTAAGATTGAATGGTTTTTACCCATTTAATTTTGATTTTAGAACTTTAATTTTGATTTCTAACCCTTCTTAATCTCTATCCATTTAATCAAACAAAATTACTATGAATGTCCTAGTTAGATTAGATGGACAGAATTAACCACACGAAGTGTTACACGACACTTTTTAAAATTAAAATGAAATATGTATAAAATATATAAGCAAGTAATCATCATGAGTATTTTTAATATAAGAAGGTGTTAATTTAAGTAGGTAAACGAAATAAGATCATAATATTTGAACACTTACATTAATTTTTTAAATTTGATAAGAAGATGTCTAAAAAAGATGAAGAAGTAATACCACTTTCACTGTATTACTTATTTTGCAAATAATTTTTATACAAACTTGTTATTTGTATATATCACATTAATAAAAATAACAATAAATTATTTTAAAGTAACATAAATAATATACTTAAGATATGTCTGTGTTAAACTTTTTTTCATATAATTAAAATAATAATTTATATAATATAAAATTTATTTTAATTATGGACTTTTTAATTAGGAAAAAAATGTGTATAAATTGTAACTTAATTGCCTTTGTTTCTTTTTTCGTACACTATAGATACATGACCCCTTTTTTTATTACTTTTTCTCCATCAAAGACACTCAACTTTCTTGAAATACTCCGATTTTATTTTTCTATACTGAGAAAAAAACTCCGGTGCCGGAGAAGAAATCGGCGGGCAAAGCTCCATCGACGGTGTACAATCTTGAAAATAAAAAAGAAAATCAAGAAAATGGTTTGGGGCCTTTTTCCTATTGATCCTCTTCCAGGTTCTATACAGGCTTCTCTCTACTTGTTGTTTCTTTCCTTAAAAAATACACTTGACCTAGTAACCAAGAAAGCAATGACACTAAAAGTTCACTTGACCTAGTAACCAAGAAAGCAATGATACTAAAAATTCACTTGACCTAGTAATCAAGAAAGCAATGGTACTAAGTGTCACTTTTAGGATTGATATTAATTATTAATCAAGAAAGCAATTATTTATCCCTCTTTTTTCTCTTTTAAGTTTATGGAATATTAAGCCCTCAAAAGGGTGTGAGCTAGTGATCAATGAATAGAATATTAAGCCCTCAAAAGGGTGGGACCTAGTGATCAATGAAAAGGGAGAGGGGGGAGAACCGTGATGTTTTAGGTTCAAAATTGCAGTGGAGGCAAAACTAGATGATTTCTTCCTGTCTGCATAAGCCATTGTGGTGCTGAGTTATGGTACTTGTGCTGTGAGTCCAGGATTATGTCTTTGTTTCTGTTATTATGCCTATATTAGGTTTGGTCTGAGTAGAGACTTGTATTTTAGTGTAGGATGATTTATAGAAACACTAGGTTTAGAGAACCTCCAAGTTTGCCTTAAAAGACAAATTACACGTAGGTGTTTTGGCATACGTGTTACTAGTGGCAGACGAGGTTACTTGATTTATATTTAACTGTCTAAGTGGCAGAGTTATGTGGTACCTGTGCCATTGGGAGGTATTAGGTACCTAGTAGACTCTACTTTTTGAGGTGTGCGCATGTTGGTCTGGGGACCACCATATATAAAGACAAATTCATTTTGTAGTATTGAAACCAAATGTGGCTGGATAAAGCAGGATGGATATATAGATCAATATAGCTTAGACCCTACTAGTTAGGCTTTGAGGCACAATTGATTGAGGACTTATGTCCCATGAATAAACATATGCGCGAACAATCAATTGTGTTAGTTATAGTTACAAAACGTATGAACTAGTTTTACTAATGTTGAAAGTTGAAGCAAGTCGTTCATGGCTTTTATTGATCACATTTTGTTAATGACTTCTGTTGGTTTCATTTTAGACTAGAATTCTGGCTGATTTATCATCTTATTAACTTTGCTACTATCAATCGCTAATACACTGCTCGTTGTATATGCGACAGGTGAAGATAGTTACTATTTCTTCAACAAAGGTACATATAAAGTGGGTCGAAAAGGTAATCTTCTCAATTATGCACTCTCATAAAATCTCTCATAAAATTTTCTTAATATGTTTTCTAATTCCTTACAAGGCGTAACTTTTGAGTTTCCTCTCTTAGCTTGGTTACTCGCGCTGTCACTGCTTCCTTTTTGATTAATCTTGTTGATGAGATGACTTAGATGTCACAATTTCTGATGTGATCTGCCTTCAGTCCAAGTCGTGGGTCATGACAATAGAGCATTTAACATGCCATAATTGGTTTGCCGATGGTCTGTTGTAATTAGGCTTAAAACATACTTTTCCTTTAACTTGTAACAAAATTCCTTCAAGACACACTCCTCCTTCACAGACAAATTTTTACACACCGCGCTTGCTCAGTTGGCATGCATATTTTTTTACCAGCTAATGAAGCGCGTGAACAAGAATTTTTGCATCAGATGTATTATTTAAGTGACGTGTGTCAAAATTTTATTAATATTTATTTTTATCTTCTTCCTTACTTAGACCCACATTACTTCTGTCATGGACTTCCCTTAAATGTATTGTTTCACAGGATGTGATGTCATTGTCAACAAGGATAAAGGAGTTTCAAGGATACATGCAGAGATTTTAGTAGATGAGATGATTTCTTTGGATCAGTCGTTGAAGAAACCCTCAAATATTCTGTTTAAAGTACGTGTAAGAGACTGCTCAAAGTATGGCACATTCCTCAACAAGAATCTGGATTCGAAGGAGAAAGTTCACGAGTTTCCAAATAGAGAAACGATGCTCAAGGATGGCGATCTAGTTTCATTTGGAACTGGTAATGCAACTTACAGGTGATTGAAGTTACATGTTGTGACTCTTACTCCTATATAGTACCTTTTGTTAGTTGACCATCAATCCTATTGAACAACATATTGATGTGATGATATTCATCAAACAGATTCTCTTATCTGTCATTCATATTTTTCATTTGCTCCCCGAAGCATTCAAAGACAAATCAACTTATTACAAAGAAGGTTTCATCAATAGGTGAGTGATCATTTATGCTAGTACATAAATATATGTTCAGATAGTGTATGCACTTTTGTGTTTCAGGCTACTTATAATATTACCAGTGTGATGTGATGAATTCTTGATCTTGTTTAATTTTTTTACTCTGCTAATTTTATACCATTGTTTCCTATCCGGTGGAAAAAATGATGAAGCCAAAAATAAAATAAAGATGTGATGGGAATCATATTAGTCTTTGATGCACAAATTGTGGTTAAGTGACAAAATACAACTAATTATTTTTATACCTATTTTCTATTGGAGTTGTGGTCAAAAGGACCAAGAACTGCAAGAGTATCAAAATATGTCCTCATACATAATCCTAGAGACCGGATTTGGTACTTGATTTACTGTAGACTGCAGTTACATTTAAAAGAATAAATACCTATGTATTATCAAAAAGACTAAATGCTTGTGCTTACAAGCACAGAAAGTATCTTGAATGCTTTCATGCATTTTAGGATGCCACAATCATAGTAGTCTAAAGTTGCAAAAGCACAAGGAACCTGTTAGGCTGTTATAGAGGGAATACCTAGATTATATTATAATCTCAATTCTTTTCATTATATATATTTGTATGCTGAGAAGATGTCATATTCCTATTACTATCAATCTCCTTGCAGGTGCAAGTATAACTAAGAAGTGGAGTTTGGACTGCTCCCATGTGCTTGTAGATGACTCCTTTCCACTGAGTGATGACCTGATTGATGCGATTGTCGCTAGAAAACCCTTGGTTCAATATAGCTGGGTCGAGGTATTCTTTGTATAAATCACCTAAGATTTTGCAAGTATAATTTGCCAACAAACATGTCTATTTGCATTTAGAGTAGCTGATATCTAGATACGCAACTGTAGTTCAAAGTGGTGATACTGTAACCGAATGTGTACGCATGACAATCCTTACACATAGATTTACTAATGTGAGGAATATGATTTAGCTGTTTCATGATTGTGCTTTTCCTACCTTACATTATGTCAGATCTTTTGCTTCGTTATTCTGAAGATTTGAGATAGTTTTTCAATCTTCCAGAGGGATCCAAACATAAACAGGCGGGTATCATTATGCGTGGACTTCATAATTGCAGTGATATAATCAATGATAGCATTATGCTTTTCTTTCTGTGATGTTCCATAGCATCAGATAATCATCTGTCCCCTCTGCATCAGGAAAATTGTTAGTTATTGAGCCGTGCTATAATAGACTACTTTTCCTATTCTTGTAGAAAGGAGGAAATCGAGAAGGAGCACAAGTGTGGTCTGAAATACTATCTCTTTGCATTATGTTGGTTAAGAAGCCAAAGATTCATTGAAGGAATTAAGAATTCCCTACATAGCTTGCAAAACTTTAGTTTACAGTTTCAGTTTTCTGGTGCAGCTTAACAAGCGTACATGATGTAAATGTTTTCTTGGATTTGTGGCTCCCTACCCTTTGAAAAGGGACTTACATTGAGAAGAAGTACAAAAGTGGCCTGATTTTTATTTTTTGTTTTGTTTTGAGAAAGGATGTAAAATATTATCTTTCTGCATCATATGGGTAATATGGATTATGCATTATATGGGTTATCTAGAAGAGAATCCATATATTCTTTGGAGGAATTTGTTCAGCTTTCTGTTGCACCTTAATAAGATTTTCGTGGATTTTGTGGCTCCTTACTCTTTGATAAGGGACCTACATCTTTGTACCTTTTGTAATTTTGAGCTCATAACTTCCTTTTCCGAGTTGTTGAAATGGATACTCTTTACTCATTCTGAAAACAGAAGAAAAATGAACTTAGCCCTTAGCTCGTCGATTTGTTGCATCATGCTTTTACAGTATCCAATCATGAAGAAAGTAATTTTCCTTTTGTTTATTTATTTTTTCCATTCGAACTTGAGATCTGAGAATTTTTTAATTGGTTGACTGTGAATTTCAGCTAATTGCAGGAAAAAATATTTGCACCGATATTCCAAGCCACAGTTCGTAAGTACTGTATTAAGATTAATCACATTATGCTTTGCTGGTCTGAAATAGCATGTACAACATTTCTCTTTTGTATGCTAAGAAGATTAGTTGTGCCGTGTTACCCAGTCATGCACCAAAGTTGATGTTGGAAGGAGTTTCCGTGAAAGTGGTAGATCCTCAGTCTCGGGAGTGTTGTTTGAAAGGATATGCTTTTTTGCTGGAACCAGAAAACAAGGTGATTGTTTTCTTAGTTTTTGCTGCTACTCTTTTGCATTACATCAAGCAAGTCATGCAAGATGACTTGATTGAGAATTACTTAGATATTTGTGCTAGACTGAGATAACTTTTTCCCCTTCCTTTGCAGTATAAATTTGAGGGCAGGTTGCAGTCCTTGCTGGAAGTTGGTGGTGCCAACATTGCTTCTTCTGAAAAGGTTTGTCCTAATGGCCTATGTTATTGTTGGCTGCTCTCCCTTCCCCCTTTTCCTTGGTCTTCCTCTCTGCATCTTCTGTATAGCTCACCCCTTAAGATTGAACTAATTTGGTAACTCCTAGCATGTTTGAAAAGGTACATGGCACAACCTCTTGAATGATGTATTTCCTAATGGATAGGGGGTCAAGTTCATAAATCGGAATGCTTGTTGGAAGGGGGGAGAATGCAAAACGGGAAAGCATTTTGAAGATGCAAATTGCCTAAACCAGCATATTAAAAACAGTCACTCACTTAAGTGCACCCTTGTTTTCCTTTTCTCTTTTTTCATTGGACTGGTAAACTGCACTTTTTTCACTTGTGCCAGAATATATATTACTTTGAGTGTAGTATATAAAGGTGTACTCAACAGTCAGCAAAGCGGTGGTAATTTTCTTGAGTTGATTCCATATTCTTAGTGGATAAGTGAAAAAGGTTAACGGAATGACAAATCAAGTTAGAAGTGAAGGCATAAAAGAGAAGAGGTCCTTATCCAAAAAGAGAGAGAAAGAGCATGGCCTACTATGGGAATGGCTAGAGATAGACAGATGAGATTTTGGATTCATACAACTCCAAATATACTGCATGAGTCTAGATTGAGTTGAATCACACCTTTGCATTTCCTATTTTGTGATTGCTGCCAAGTTTCAACATCTCTTTCTTTTCTATTTTGTGTGGTGGGGTTTCATGGGGTGCTCATGGTTTTGCATACAAGATACATACTATTGAGCCACAGAAGATTGTGTATGTAGTAATGTTTAAACTTACTAACTCATTTCATCTGCTTTTAGGTCTCGGAGAAAAATGGAAATGACCGTGTGGTATGTGTAGTTCCAGCAGGATCAAACAACTTTAAGTCTTTTTCTAACCAAAGTTCCTTGCCATGGGTGAGTGAAATAGATCTGGTTTCTGCGGTTCTATCCGGATATCTTGATCCTATTCTTATCACATCCCCACCAGGTGAGTGTAGTATAAGTTTAGAATTTATTTCTTTCCTTGCACACGACATAACAATTGACTTTCTATGTACATAAGTTTCTATTTTCTCCATTCATGTCTTTGCTCACTCATGTTCACTTTCCTCCTTTCCAATCTCTTTCCCCCTTTAAATTTTGGTTTGAAACTTTTACCAGCAGATTCAAATTGCAAAACATGATATGTATTGAATTTACTAATTACATGCTCAGATATGGACCTCTAAGGCTCTAACTTGCAGTGGATCGCCATTTTGATGTCTGGTCTGTGGTAATAAAAGTAAAAAACCTCATGATGATTATTTGAGGTGGTCAAGGATCAGGTCATTTTATCACTGTGCATCTGTGCCTACTGTTGTGCAAAAGCAAATAAAAATTGCTTGTTAGACTAGCCAAGAGGTTTTAAGAGTGTGGCTTTGGACTGGTTGATAAGGTCAACTAATCGTGCAATAGAATTTCTCATAAAATCTTGCACCATCTTGTTTAATACTGGTTGAGTCGATTTTTAACTAGGGGATGATCCATTATTAGTTGCGACTTACGGATTCCCTTTAGATAGATAGAAATTGGCTACTCATGACCATGGTAATTGGTCATTGATCTTGCAGTTAGTAATGTCTTTCGACAATTGATTCTTGAAGCAGTCGCCTTATTTTCTCCAAATGAAAAAGTAAACTACCTTTGTAAGCTAGCTTTGATTGACATATTAAATAAAAATGCAACAGTTTTTCTTTTCACAATAAGTTTTTTAATAATTTACAAAATCCCTGCTTTGTGTACCATTTGCTCAAAATGGATCCAAGAAGTTTCTTACACAAATAAATTGCTTGTAGATATGCTTGAATGCGTGGATACTGGATAACTTATTTTACTTTTCTGACTTCAAGAAGTACACGAGTAGAATTCATTTGTTTTGATGAAGTAGGTAGGATATATCATAACAGGCAGAAATCCTTTTGTGCATATAATATAGAAGATGCAAAAAGGTTACAAAAGAAGTGAGAAATTCATTGAAGTCTTTATCAGGACATTCTGGTTCAACCCGGTGCTGATAAGATGTGCATTATTATGAATCTATGTGTTCTGCCAATTTTATCTCATATGCTGATAAGTTGTGCATTGTTATGAATGTATGTTCTCTGCCAATTTTATCTTATGTTCTTTACTAAATAGTTGTCCTCTGCAGTGCTCGTTACCTCTTCATGCTCCACAGATGAGACAGTGGTTGCAGACTCAGATGCCGAAACAGAAAGTACAAAATCAGATCACATCGCTGCTGCTTTCTGTTCAATAGAATCTTCAGAGCATGACAGCAAGGGAATAACTTCTATACACAAGTTAGAATCTGTTGAATATCACAACGAAGATAAGTGTACTGTTCAAATAGTGATGCCTAGGGATAAGGTATACACGAGGGACACATCTCCCAGTTCAACAAAACATATTAAACACGATGGAGGTCACATACCACATGATGATGCTACCATCCATGACCCTGAAGGTGGTTACATCAGGCGCTTAGGCGTCAAAAGTGATAATACAGTGGTAAAAGAAGATATCACGGATCAGCGGGAAAATGGGAAGTTGGATATCATATATAGCCAAGATTTAATTGTTAGAGATTCTATCATGTCATTACCAGTCTCTTCTTCATCAAATGGCGGAGTTACAAATTTTAAGCGCTTCCGTAAGGTTTGTATCTATTGCAATGTCTTATATGAAGTATATTCATAACAGAGAATGAAAAATTCCCACTTCACTTTCTTCTTTAGCATGCCTTTCCTTTGTTGCTGAAATATTAGACTTCCATCAGCATCAGAGTTCAGCTAGCAATTTCAGCTTGATCTTGTCCTGTTCTGTCTAAATTGGTGCTGAAAAGTCTGATATAGACTATGACGATGATCCATGTGTCTGTTTTGCTTGTCTAATATGCAGTTGGTTCAGTAAAATTCTAGGTTTGATTTGATTGCTAGTCCAGGAAGCATATCAGTTTTTGTAGTCATAATATTGCTTAGTGAAGATCCTTACTAAATTTTTTTTTTGCTTTCGAAAGTTCTCTGTAACTTTATTACTTCTGTAAAGTACATTAAGTTCTGTCCATGAATTGCAATTCTAAAATTGATGCATCTTCACTTTCAGTTTGGTTCCTCTTCTTCTTTGGTCAGTGGATTTGATTATTATGCTATACTCTAAATGCCAATTTTTGCTGTTCTTTTGACCTAATTTTATAGGCAAATGCTCCATCCCAGAATAGCTTTGCAATCTTCATTCCATTCTCCAAGCATCCATACCAGTAAGCAGCTAAGTCTATCTCTGGTTTGTTTATAGTCTGTAACACATATCAGACTTTGATGTTGATCTGTGATCATGATGGCAGAGAATCTGAGTGTAAGAATGAGGACGTTGCTGAATCTATTAAAGAAGAGAAAAAAAGAAAACAGATGGAGGCAATTGCCGAGGACCTGTTTAAGAGTGAAAAGGTCAGTAATATGACTTGTATTATTGCAGCTAAAATCACAGGAAATACATCTCTCAAGCCAGTGCTTCTATTTCTCTATCACAGGGAAAAAAAAGTGGTGTTGCTGGTTCCCTGCATGGGTTGTTTGCTCGTAGATAATATGGTAAGTTTCTTTACAGTGCTGAAGAACTATGCCTTCTTTTCGTTAGTCTGCAAAGCAAATGCAGCTTTTTAGTCTGCAAAGCACATACAGCTTTGTGCTTTGTGGAGGGAGTGAAAGGCTAGATGCTTCGAAGATAGAGGAATTTCCATTCAGAAGATCTGAATGGGTTGTTTACTTTTGTTATATTTTTGGTGCAAATAGAACTTTGTTAGTGACGTTGAAACTGTTATAGATCTTATTGTATCCCTTTAAAAATGGAAAATTCTTTCTTTCTCTTGGGAAGATTGTGCATTTTTATTTTTTTTGAAATATTTCTTTGGTCAGTGGATTTGATTATTATGCTATACTCTAAATGCCAATTTTTGCTGTTCTTTTGACCTAATTTTATAGGCAAATGCTCCATCCCAGAATAGCTTTGCAATCTTCATTCCATTCTCCAAGCATCCATACCAGTAAGCAGCTAAGTCTATCTCTGGTTTGTTTATAGTCTGTAACACATATCAGACTTTGATGTTGATCTGTGATCATGATGGCAGAGAATCTGAGTGTAAGAATGAGGACGTTGCTGAATCTATTAAAGAAGAGAAAAAAAGAAAACAGATGGAGGCAATTGCCGAGGACCTGTTTAAGAGTGAAAAGGTCAGTAATATGACTTGTATTATTGCAGCTAAAATCACAGGAAATACATCTCTCAAGCCAGTGCTTCTATTTCTCTATCACAGGGAAAAAAAAGTGGTGTTGCTGGTTCCCTGCATGGGTTGTTTGCTCGTAGATAATATGGTAAGTTTCTTTACAGTGCTGAAGAACTATGCCTTCTTTTCGTTAGTCTGCAAAGCAAATGCAGCTTTTTAGTCTGCAAAGCACATACAGCTTTGTGCTTTGTGGAGGGAGTGAAAGGCTAGATGCTTCGAAGATAGAGGAATTTCCATTCAGAAGATCTGAATGGGTTGTTTACTTTTGTTATATTTTTGGTGCAAATAGAACTTTGTTAGTGACGTTGAAACTGTTATAGATCTTATTGTATCCCTTTAAAAATGGAAAATTCTTTCTTTCTCTTGGGAAGATTGTGCATTTTTATTTTTTTTGAAATATGTAACTTTGTATTATATCACAAAACAGTACATGGGTTGTACTGAAACCATATATACAGATGTCTCCTTTTCCACTTGTTCCAGTCTATATTAAGTGTAAAACATCAATTACTGATACAATGTCATTGGAGTATACTTGATAACACCAAAAACATAACAATAAAATGCAGTTTAACTTGACTTTCTGGACATCATTCTCTATGCTCTCAAAACACCTAGAATTCCTTTCTTTCCAAATAGTCCACCATATACTAGCAGGGATAATTCTCCATCTGTTTCTGTCCTTTGCATTCACCCCTGCTGCCTCCCAACTCTTCAAAGCCTCTGAGACCTTCCTGGGCATGGTCCAGGAGATGCCTTTGAGATTCAAAAAAATCCTCCATAGTTGTTGGGTATACTTGCAGTATAGGAACAGATGGTTCACTGTCTCTAATGCCTCCCCACCAAGAAAGCAACTAGAGCATAAGGTTATCCCTCTTTTCTTCAAGTTATCTTGAGTCAGAGCAGCTTCTTTGGCCAATAACCATATGAAGCATGAGATTTTATGAGGTATTTTGCTTCTCCATATTTGTTTCCATGGCCAACTGTATGTATGTCGGTTTGTCTGATCCATCAACTTGTAGGAAGATTGTGCATTCTTTTGACAGCACCTTCTTGGTGGTTTTATTTAATTATGATACAGCAAGCATTTCTCGAAAAGGCTCTGTTCGGCGTTCGTATGCATCAATTTCCTCATGCAGCGTAGCATCTTTGATATAGGGCAGAGGCAATATAACAACAACATACCCTGTGTAGTCCCACAAGTGGGGTCTTAGGAAGGTAGGATGTACAAAAACCTTACTCCTACCCTTGCGGGGTAAAGAGTCTGTTTCCGATAAGATTAATATACCCTTGACTCAAAAGAGCAGATACTTGAAGCAGGGTTACAAGAAAAATATGACATCAAAGATCAACATACCAAGCAAATAAAATAACAGGTAGTAAAACACATTGAGAGATAAGAAACTACATGATTACTCAATACTACTCCCTCTGTCCCAATTTATGTGACTTACTTTCCTTTTTAGTAAGTCCCAAAAAGAATGACACATTTATATATTAAGTAACAATTTAACTATAAAATAGCTATTTTACCCTTAATGTATTGATTTACAGCCACACAAATTTCTATCATTCATTTTGGACCACAAGTTTTAAAAGTCTTCATTTCTTTCTTAAATTCCGTGCCGAGTTGAACTACCTCACATAAAATGGGACATATGTAGTACTAATAATAAGGTTGCGACGAGGAGATAGGGCTTGCCCCTTGCCTCTCCTACCGAAAGAACTACAACACTTGGCTACACCTGCTAACCTTCTACCTTATCTTCGATCTCTACATCTTCCTATCTAGGGTCATGCCCTCAGCAAGTTGGAGCTGAGTCATATCCTGTCTAATCATCTCCCCTTGGTTATTCTTCGAACTGCCTCTACCTCTCCTAACTCCTACAACAACCAACTTCGCTCACACATCCTTACTGGTGCATCCGCATGCCGTCTCTTTACATGCATGCCCGAACCATTCCAACCTTGCTTCCCTTGTCATGTCTACCATGGAGGCCACTCTCACCTTGTCCTGTGTAACTTCATTCCTAATCATATTTCTCCTAGTATGCCCACACATCCACACAATATTATCATTTTTTGAGACCAGAATGCAAATAGCTCTGAAGTACAAGTGTTAATTTCTGTCAGCATCATATATAAGAAGCGTGTCGTCAGGATAAACAACATGAGTCTAGCAGATTCCTCTGCCATCTTTACCAGAAATGCAAATCTCTCCATTCCAGCTCAATTCTTCAGGTCTCTTAAGCAGTATTCTTAGGGGGTTCCATGACAATCACAAAAAGATAAGGAGAGAGAGCGTCTCCTTGTCTTAGGCTCTTTTAGACTTAAAGAAGCCTTCGGGGCTTCCATTAATGTGAAGATGAAGTCTGACAGTAGAGATGCAAGTAAGGATCCACGTATCCACCTATCCCCAAAAGTGCACAAGTCATGACTTCCAATAGAAAATCAAATGCCTTTTCTAAATTACACTTGCATATTAATCCTGCCTTCCCCATTCTCAAGTAGTAGCCAAGACACGGATTTGCAATTAACGACATCTAAAATTTGTCTACTTTTAATGAAGGCATTTTGGTTGCCTGTAATGAGTTTGCTTATCATATGTCTTCAATCTTTCAGCAAGCACCTTTGCAATGAGTTTGTAAATGGTACTAGGATGCTATAGTTCTAAAGTCATTAATCTCCATTTCCTCTTTCTCTTAAAGAGAGCTCTGAAAGTAGCAGTGAAACTCCTCTCAAATGTGCCTTCCTGATAAAAAAATTCCAATGTTTTCATTTATATCAGTCCTGTCAGTGGGCCAACCTTTTTTAAAGGACATGTTGAATCCATCAGGTGCCAGGGGCTTTACCCCATCAAATTGCTTGTGTGCGTCATCTTCCTCTGTAAATGGCCTTTGAATCCACTTGCATTCTTTGACCCCACATTTTTATCTTTGAGTAAAGAGCATCTCATAAAAGCTCTGAATGTGTTCTTTGATCAGCTTCTTGTCTCCAAACAATTTTCTTTCAACCTCAGTCTTGTCAATATTATTGTACTTCTCTGGGCATTGGCCATCTTGTGGAAAAAAATTGTATGCTTAAAATCTTGATTTTTGTGTTCAAGGTATTTCGACAGCCTCTGCAATTTCTTCCAGCTCATAAGACTACCTTTTTGTCTGCCTCTTTCAGCTTCATCTTCATTCACAGACTGAGCGATCCAGCTCCTCTAATTCGGAGAGGATGTTTTCTGCTTGTGTTTAAGCTTTCCATATACTTGCTTGTTCTATTCTCTAATGACAGCCTTGAGCAACTTAAGTTTTTTTGGAGGTAAGCACTTGAGACACAAATTAGAACAAAGAGAATATTTTGTTGTAGAAAGTCTTAAATTCAGGATCTTCCTCTGCGAATTTCCTGAGAAACAAAGTCAATGGCACGTAGGTTCAAAGCTAGACCAACTACTCCAAGAGCACTCATCCATAAATCGAAAGGTGAAAAAAAGCACTAGATCTTTCTTCATGGTTGGTTTACTAGGGTAAAACGTGCCCCTTTCCACCTCCAAGTAGTCGTGTTGGTGTGTTCCGTGTTAATCATTCTTGGAAGATTTTCCTATATTAACTTTTGGCTATATTGTTAAAATAATTCATAAGGTAGTAGACTAGTGGCTACAATTTGGATATGAATCTGATTTGATCACTTGCTTAGGAGAAAACAAACTCAAGAACATGTTGGTTTCCATGTGGATTCTGTTAAGAGTCATAAGTACTTCTGTATCACATGCATATGGTTTGTGTTTCACCCACATACATTTGATCTTTCAGTGTTTTAGGGTTAGTGAACTGAACTGAAGAGCTTGATAGAGGATCATTGGAATTGGCTTAACTGCAATTTTACATGCATGATGATTAGCTGCCTACAATGTGAGTTTCCAGAACTAGGATCAGCCTACTTATATAGAATAGAAGGTTTCTTTTTAGCCAATGGTTCTTGAAGTTTATCTGCCTACTGTTGCAATAAATAGTAGAATTACATAACCTATGCTGTTTATTCATTATGAGATTGGCAAACCTGTTTTGACTTGCTTGGTATTTGCGAGACAAATTAAAAGCCAGGAGAGGTGACTTGAAGGGACAAAGTGTTGACCTGATGCTCAAGCATTTTTAAGCTGTTATCTGATGGTGGAAACAGATTTATTGGGTTTTGGTAACAAAAACAGCTGCATTTTGGTGTTATACTTGATCCCTGAAATCCTTAACAGCAAAAAAGAAAAAAAGAAGTAAAAGGTCAAAGCTTAGTTTATATCCCTCTGTCTTAAGGGGAACAATCTCAGTAAATACGGGAGTTTTAAGCACAGCAGATGAGCAAGCTGCATTATGCAGAGATGGTACTGTCGTCGAGCTGCCAAACTCTTGGTTCCTAAGAGAGAAGGTTTCATGTTGGTTTGAGTTTGATGAATTGCCTTAAGCTTACTTGATGACTGTCCACAAACTCAAATTGTTATGATTGATGCATATTATATCAGTAGTATGATTTCTTCTTGGAATGCTAACATACCAATTTTGTGTTTCCAGATACCAAAGATATGCAGGTGTACTGGATCAACCATCTAAGACATTTTGTTGGTATTCCTAGTTTCTTAGAAAACACTGTAGATAACACCCTCCTTTTGTTTTCTCCTTGTATGAAGTCATCAATTTCTTCAGGATGAATTCTGTTAAGCTATTGTATTGGGTCATTCTTGAAACTAATATTTTCTTTCTTGTTTCTTCACATGTGTTCCTTGATTTGTTTTTCATTCTTAATGCTATGACTCATTTATGTTTAATGTGAATCAGCAAGTGAAACAAAAAAAAAAACCTTCAGCGTCCGTGGAAAATGATAGGATTTGCACTCGGCAGCTGATTGTACATGATGGTGTTATTCAAGCTTATATTCAGTTTTTCCAAAGTAGTTAACTTGTAGCTAGTGTTGGCAAATGTGAGAGAAAAGGTTGTCTGAGCGCTCCTCTTATTGGAAATGATAAATTTTTAATGGTGCATATATTATTGGACTCTCTTTGTGCTATAAATAAAAAACAATCATATAAAGAAAAAAGTAACAACTTGTAAGTTGAAGTTACAAAATTTTATAAGTTTGATGCTACTTTACTGACATATATAATACTTTATAATTTAAAAATAAATATATACTTGAATAAACATAATTGTTTGCATATAATAAATAAAAAAAGTAAAAACTAAAAAAAGGGTGATAATTGTATAGTAATTATTGCATAGCATAAAATGGAAAATACAATACCGCATATGAAAATATTATATAGTTGCTAGTAAAACCACGAAATCTAAAAATATGAATGAATGAGGTACCATTTATTAATGTTTCATTAAGAACCTGAAACTGAAGATGATGGGGAATTAGAGATTATGAAGATTCTATAGTAAAAGAAAATTATAACTCATAAGCACGTTAGTGAAAGGGAAAAAAACACGAGAGATATTTATACAAATATGTATAGTGACTCTAAAATTATTCTTTCAACATTATTAAAATTATGAAAGGTTCGAACAATTATGATATTGAATTTTGCGCTTCTCATCATAAGTAATGGAATGTTAAAAGCTTGAAGTAATAATTAATGAGGAAAAATCCTTTTGGCCAGAATGAGGAAAAATCTTTTTATCCAATTTTTACTAAATAGATTGATAAAAATATGAAGTTATATTTCTAATTGGGGTGAGATTCACGCTCAAGCACTGAGAATGTAGATTGTGTAAAAAGTGTGTATTTATTGTAATTCTGAAATGTTTTGTGGGGTAATAGGATGCTTGCAAAATTAAGGTGTTTTTTTGAAAATTCGGGACAACTTCATGTGTCACTTTATGTCTTTTCTCTATATTATATTATATTATTATGATACGATGATATATGATAATATATAAGAGTAAATGCAATTAAACCATCTAGGTAGTTGAAGGTTTGTGGACTTTTCATTACCAATATTACTCCTTTGGGTCCCAAGCCAATGGAAGACTTATGTTTGGTCCTTGAAGAGAAGACTTTAGCGTTTACCTATTAATTAATGATGTTTGCAGATAGAAATGCCTTGTTTCATTGTTCAACACTAAAAGAGGTGAGCAGAATGGTCCGTCCCCCTATCCTTCACTTTGAACTGGAATTTGTGGACTACATCAGTCTCTCTTGTTTGCTATTTGGAAATTATTGGGAGAAGAAAATTGACTCCAGCAACTATACAATAACTCCCTCTTCTTTCTGTTCATCCAATAGAGCTGATCTCCTTTTTAAAAACAATGTGTAGGGGAACAAACATTCTGCTAAAATGTTATACAATCCTCATCTTTCTTCACATTTCACAAACATGCAATGCTTGGAACTTGAAGAGCAAACACTGTATCCCTTCTTCTTGTGGTCATATCCGTGACATAAGCTACCCTTTTCGCTTAAACACCGATCCAAAACATTGTGGTTTCTCAGAAGCTGAATTAGCTTGTTAAGGCAACAAAACCATTATATCACTCTTCTCCAAGAACTTGTATGTGCAAGCCATCAACTACGATAACCAGACAATTCGCCTGGTAGATCCAACGTTACAAAACGCTGATATGTGCTCTCTAATACTACCTCCTCATCTTAATTCCCACCATTACAATAGTACACATTTTCGTCTGTATTAAAATGGATCAGAGAATAGTATTAAAAGAGCAGCAGAGCCTATCTTCATGTTCAACTGTCCCTTTGCTATTAATACATTTCTAGAAATTAGTGGCTGCAAATTAAACAGATACACTTACTTAAAGATTGGAGAAATGAATGCATCAGAAGTCAGTGATGGATGCAGAGTACAACTCGTCGGTCTGACCTCATGGCCTAATATTAAAGAGGCAGAGAACAACATTTCCCTTTCTGATTTTCATCAAGCTATCACCTATGGCTTCGAGCTTTATTATATCGGGTTTATAGAAAGTATATTTAAGGATTCACTTCTATTTTCATCAATTTTTTCTCTCCATAATTATCCATGGATTTCTCATTTTAAATTCGCTAATGTTTGGACCTTAATCTAACCAGGGGATATTTGGATGTCACTCGGGCTGTTAATTGGGAGTTTCTTGGGTAAGCTCGTATCCCTTTAGCAAGTTGTATTATTTGGCCGGACAGAATTAGCATTTCGTTAGTATTATGTCTGTTGGTTTGTCATAACAATTATCATCTCTTCATTTCCACAACTCTTTTACACTTAAAGGTGACATGCAACAGCAGGTAACTATCTATAATAAGCCTAATTTTATGGTTTACTTGGAACCAGACAAAATTATGCCTTAAGAGAATGTAGGAACATTCTAAGTTACTTTTCTTATTCCTGATAGTCTTTTTGTTTCCTTAGTACAACTTCTCAAACATGTAGGGTCTTTAATACTGAAATTTATGATTGGCCTTCCGTTCATAATTTTATTTCTGGGGTACAAATTCAAGAGGAGGCATTTGTCCATGTATGATGCGATTGAAGGCTTTTTGCAAACACAAAACAATTTCATGTCAATCAGATGTAACTACTCCCACGTAAAGAGAATGACCAGAGGATTCAAAGAGAAATTAGGTGAGGGAGGTTACGGCAGTGTATACAAAGGAAAGCTTCAAAGTGGAAGAGATATAGCAGTGAAGATGTTGAGCAAGCCTAAAGCTGGTGGGCAAGATTTCATGAATGAAGTAGCTACCATTGGAAGGATTCATCACGTCAATGTGGTTGGACTCGTGGGGTATTGTGTTGAGGGAACAAAGCGTGCTCTTGTATACGACTTCATGCCCAACGGATCACTTGATAAGTACATCAGCACCAGTCAAGAAGAGAGTCCTTAGTTAAGTTGGCAGAGGAAGTATGACATTATTCTTGGAGTGGCTGGGGGAATTGGGGATTTGCATCGAGGCCGGGGTGTACGAATTTTGCATTTTGATATCAAGCCACACAACGATTCTTTTGGATGAGAATTTCATTCCAAAGATTTCTGACTTTGGGCTTGCAAAGTTATATCCAACAGATAATAATAGCATTGTGACTCTCACAACTGCTCGCGGAACGATTGGATATGTAGCTCCAGAGTTGATCAGCAGAAGCATTGGAGCAATCTCTTACAAAGCTGATGTTTGCAGCTTTGGAATGTTGTTAATGGAAATGCTGGACTTGAAGAGACATGAAGTTGCAAATGAAGAGAATTCCAGCCAATATTTTCCTTATTATATTTATGATAAGTTCAACAAGGGGAAGGAGATCCTGGTGGATGAAAAGAAGATGGCTAGAAAGCTGAGTTTAGTTGCATTATGGTGCATTCAGACGAATCCAATACAATGCCCTTCAATGAGTAAAGTATTAGAAATGCTTGAAGGTGAAGGTGAAGTTGAAGTGCTAGAAGTACCTCCTCAGCCTATTCAGTCTCAACCCATTGTTCATCAGATGATGGGAAGTTCTATGGCATTTTCGTCTGATTCAATGGCTTTGTTAGAAAACTCTGTTGATAATCCCATCGAAGTATATATTTGTTCTGATTGATTTTAGGTTTTTTTTTCCAGCTGATTGATTATAGTTGATGTAATGTTTATTTTAAATGATGACATATTTGCGAGAAGGGCTTCGCGCTTACGAAGGGCCAGGTGATACACTGTCAATTGAGTAAGCCTAAAGAGCAAGGAAGATTGATATACCAAATGATACACTGTCAATTGAGTAAGCCTAAAGAGCAAGGAAGATTGATAGTGCTCTTGAACAGCTGAACCCGATTCTTCCAAGGAAGAAGATGAATTGAGAGAGAAGAGATAGAGAGAAAAAAGAGAATTTCTTATTGATCTGAATTGATACCTTTACAATGAAATCAACGAGTATATGTAATAGAGAAGGGACAGCTGTCCACAATTCAGTTATAACAACTAGTAACCGACTTCCTCTACCACTATTACAACTCACGTGTCCCACTTAACAGACTCAAATACAAAATTACGAAAATTAACGACTAACTCAATTTCTAATCAATTGACATGTAACACCAGGTCTGAGTTGGTCCGTCTCATTCGCGATGAACAAATAACATGGACATAATTAAAAGTCTAGTTTCAACCTTAGACTCCATAACTCGATTTTGGGGCTTGGGATTATAGTTTGGGATGATTTTAATGGGGTTTTGTTGGGTTTCTTCGTAAAGTATAATTCTAACCTTCTAATTAAGCTTCCCCCGAATCTTATCATCAAATTAGTGATTTAAATTGGGGGATTTGGGGTTTTGTTTTTTACCCCAATGTGAGATTGATGTAATTCTTCGATTTAGGGCCCGATCAACAGCCCATTTTAGTTTATTTTCAGCATGTAAGTTCCCCAACCTATGGATAAACCAATTTTGAAAGAACCTTTTAGATTCCATAGGGAGTCTGGGGTTGACTTTTTGACTAGATTTTTGAGCTGAACTTTTATATGCTAATATGGGTCTCTACGGACTAGTGTATTTACCTAGATTATGTATGTATTTGAACAAATTAGGACCGTTTAGAGGAATTAAGGAAAGGCAATGCCATAATTTGATTTTTTTTCCGAACCCCAATTAAGGCAAGTTGAGATGCAAGGTGACCTTATTTTATAATGTGTTACGCTCGTCACATGGAATAGGATTCTATCATGATGATAACCACGAGTAAATATTTCAAAAAGTCATTCAACTTTGAGAAATTATGTTGTAAAGTCATTCTACTTTGTTTTATATCAATAAAATCACTCAACTTTGAATATTTCTTTTATAAAATCACTCAATCAAAATTACCATAAAAATAATTTTACAAGATAAAATCATTATTTTTTAAAGTATATATATTTACGAGAAACTTCTTAAAATATTTATAAGTCATGAAATTAAAAATAATTGACATGAATTTTGAACTTTTTAGTAAATTTGTGGAGCGTGTCGAATCTCTTTTTGGTGTGTTTTGATTGCAGATTGTTATTAGAGGCAGATGAATCATTTAATTAATTAAACTAATATATCAATCAAATTTCATTGCTAATCATCTATCAACTTATGAAAACTGACAATATTGAGGTATCGACTTTCTTCTCTTCCCATTTTATATTGTTCGATTATATTAAAAATAATTTCACCAATAATTTTTTTTAAAATTCATATCTTACACTTGATTTTATTGATCCATGATTGTAATTTTTTAAAATGGAGAGTAATTTTTTTTTTTGTAATTATTGCAGAAAAGAAGAAAAACATATAAAAGATTGAGATTTGTGGGAGAACAATTAATTTATTTTATCATGTTAAAATGTTTTTATGGTAAATTTGATCAAGTGATTTTATAAAAGAAATACTCAAAGTTGAGTGATTTTATTGATACAAAACACAGTTGAATGACTTTACAACATAATTCTTCAAAGTTGAGTGACCTTTTGAGATATTTACTCTGATAACCACATGCAATCCACATATAAGTAACAACATCCCATCGGGGCCATAATCACAACACCTAGCCTGAAACACATCTCATCATGCCATAATCATGTAAACCATCACAAAGTAAATAAAATGACATTATTGAGTCGTTGGCGTTCACCTATCTAATGAGCTATTAAATCATCTATTGAGGTCTACAATTTTCTTCTGTCCATAATTTCCAACTAGCAAGCAAGGTAGTATTGAGAGACTTATCTAGTCCACAAATTCCACATATTGGAAATTATGGGGAGAAGAAAATTGAAGACCCCCAATAAATAATTGATAGCTCTATAGATAGGTAAACGCAACTAAACACACGTTTTCCATTGGGTTGGGTCCCAAACCAATGGAGAACTTGTGTTTGGTCCTTGATGAGAAAGTTCCAACTTGAAGAGAAGACTTTGACGTTTACCTAATTATTAGTGATGTATGGAGATGGAAATGACTAATTGTTTCCGTGTTCAACACTGCTTTATTATGTGAGTGTGATACCGCAGAGGATACTTTTCTTAAGGAGAGTGCAAAAACCTTAGAAGACGTTGAGAATACTTTTCAAAGGCTTATCCTTTAATTTCAGTCATTGGCGTTTTCCTATCTATCTAATGAGCTATTAATCATCTATTAGTCTGCTTTAGTTCTGCTCTCCTCTTTTTTTTTAAAGGGAGGAAATACTAATATTTGGAACATGAATTTTAAGAATGTCGGAGCATTATTCTCTTGGCTTCTGCATATTGCAGGTACCATGATCTCAGACTGAATCACTTCAGAAAAGGATTACAGCTGCACTCTCTTCTAAAGTTAGAATTAGTTCAAACTTCAAACAAAAGTGTTTCAAGTTTGCATGCTTTCAAAATTGTCTGAAATTGAAGTGTAAGAATTAAGATTTTTCCAACTTCTGTTTTGTAGACCTGAAGTTGATTTTGCAGTGGTTAAACAAACAAAAATTACAATCTTAGACTATCATCTGTCTCGCATAAAGTGGATAGTCGGTCATTTACTACAACTTTCATGTGGTTGGTAACTTCCCCTTGCATAACTAGTATGACAATAGCAACACACACCTTTGTCCCAAACATTGTTGCGTCGGCTATATTTGTTTCACATAAACATTACATCAAGTCATCAACTATAGTCAATCAGAACAAATGTCTACTTCAATGGGATTATCAGCAGGATTTTCTAACAAAGCCATTGAATCAGACGAAAATGCCATAGAACTTCCCATCATCTGAAGAACAATCGGCTGAGATTGAATAGGCTGAGGAGGTACTTCTAGCACTTCAACTTCACCTTCCAGCATTTCTAATACTCTACTCATCGAAGGGCGTTGTATCGGATTTGTTTGTATGCACCATAGCGCAACTAAACTCAGCTTTCTAGCCATCTTCTTTTCATCATCATTTGCTTCTTCATGCACCAGAATCTCCTTCCCCTTGTTGAACTTGTTGTAAATATAAAAAGGAAAATATTGGCTGGAATTTTCTTCATTTGCAACTTCATGTCTCTTCAAGTCCAGCATTTCCATTAACAACATTCCAAAGCTGTAAACATCAGCTTTGTAAGAGATTGCTCCGATGCTTCTGCTGATCAACTCTGGAGCTACATATCCAATTGTTCCACGAGCAGCTGTGAGATTCACAATGCTATTATCTGTTGGATATAATTTTGCAAGCCCAAAGTCAGAAATCTTTGGAATGAAATTCTCATCCAAAAGAATGTTGTGTGGCTTGATGTCAAAATGCAAAATCCGTACATCACAGCCTCGATGCAAATACCCTATTCCTCGAGCCATTCCAAGAGTAATGTCATACTTCCTCTGCCAGCTTAACAGAGGACTTTCTTCTTGACTGGTGCTGATGTACTTGTCGAGTGATCCGTTGGGCATGAAGTCGTACACAAGAGCACGCTTTGTTCCCTCAACACAATACCCTACGAGTCCAACCACATTGACATGATGAATCCTTCCAATGGTAGCTACTTCATTCATGAAGTCCTGACCACCAGCTTTAGGCTTGTTCAACATCTTCACTGCTACATCTCTTCCACTACGAAGCTTTCCTTTGTATACACTGCCGTAACCTCCCTCGCCTAATTTTTCTTTGAATCCTATGGTCATTCTCTTTATGTGGGAGTAGTTATATCTGATTGGCATGAAATTGTTTTGTGTTTGCAAAAAGCCTTCAATGGCATGATACATGGACAAATGTCTCCTTTTGAATTTGATCACCAGAAATGCAATTACCAACGGAAGGCCTATTACAAATTTTGCGCCCGAATACGCTGCAAGATTAAGAAGTCAAAAAGTTAACTTCCTCTTGAGCCAATATATCATACAGATGTCTTTTTCATATGCTGACCGATCTATTCTTCTCAGAAATAGATCATAGAGATGTGTGTTGCAAGTTTATCTCCTATTATTTTATAAAATCTATACCTGCCTAATTTTATATATTCTACTAAGTGTATGTTTTCTCTATGCAAACAAAGCAATATCATCTAATTTTTTAATTTAATTTTTAGTTATTATCTTACAAAATAGGAAATTATGAAATTATGTAAAAACTAATTAAGGTAATAATAACATCTAATGGTATTTGATCTGATATATAATGAATTTCTGGAGTTAATATCTCAGATGGTCATTGAACTATGCACTATTATCTCAGAAAGTCACTCAACTTTCAATTTTAACTCAAAAGTCACTCAACTATACAATTTTCTCTCAGAAAATCATTCAACTTTGAATTTTATCTCAAAAGTCACTCAACTATCTACCCTCTCTCATAAAGTCATTCAACCTATTAAATTGATATTTTAATTACGATTTACTGATATAAATTTTTTATTTAAAAACCAAATTTTAAAAAATAAAAAAACTATCCATTTAAATCATTTAATGAGCCGCTCCACTTGACCCTACCCACTAAAAATATAACATTGATCCATTTTATTGACTCTTTCTCCTCCCTTGTGCGTTTTTTTCCAGCTGTCCATTGATAATTGCTTTTGCTTCTTTTAGCAGTTCACTTATTTCTTCTTTAAATGATTTTAGTTGAAGCTGATCTTTTTCTTTGTCAGCCTTAATTCCCAGATATCGTGGATCGTTGGCAACGAAACGGACTAGAAAATCAACAAGAACACGCATAATACCAACAAGGTTAAAAAAGATTCTCCAGCCAGGGATTCCCATGAATGATGTTTCCGCAATCAACATAGACATAGTCCCACTAATGATCGAGCCAAAACTTGATGTTAGTTCTAACCATCCGGAAGTAGTACCACAGTCCACAGTTACTTTCATGAGTTGAATCAGCAACTAAAGATTGGATAACTGGGTCACATTATATTTTTTAATGGGTCAGGTCAAGTGGGTGGATCACTAAATGGTTTAAATGGTATTTTTTATTTTTTAAATTTTTGATTTTTTATATAAATAATTTATATTAGCAAATTCTAATTAAAATAACAATTAAATAGATTGAGTGACTTTTTAATATAAGAGTGGATAGTTGAGTGACTTTTGAGATGAAATTCAAAGTTGAGTGACTTTTTGAGATTTGGAGTTAATAACTTTGATGATCACTCAACTATCAACTATTTTCACAGAAAGTCACTCAACTTTCATTTTCAACTCAAAAGTCACTTAACTATGACTTCTTTGCACAGAAAGTCACTCAACTTATTTAATTATTTTTTCACTAATATTTGTTGACATGTAATTTTTCCTAATGTTTTGGGGCATCCCGACAATTATATACCTGCTAATCCGATGTCCACCCCGCCTCATATTGTGCCAGAATGGTATTTCCTACCGATCCATGCCATTCTTCGTAGTATACCTGACAAATCGGGAGGTGTAGCCGCAATAGCACCAGTTTTTATATGTCTGTTGGCTTTACCCTTTTTAAAGTATGTATGTACGTAGTTCAAGTTTTCGCCCGATTCACCAAGGAATATTTTGGTTGCTTTTGGCGGATTGCTTACTACTAGGTTGGATCGGATGTCAACCTGTGGAGGCACCCTTTGTTGGTCTCGCTCCTTTCACTTCCTCTTCAACAAGATATGACCCCGAGAGGGAAAGAGAAAGAGGGTCTTATGGAGGGAGGGGGAGGGAAAAAGCTTTCTCCGGATATACTCTCAACTTTCCCTGCTATCCTATCAACAGGTCAGTCAATATCAGTACAACTCTTAATCGTTTGTATCCCATACCTATGGGCTACTTCACTGAGACGATG